AAAATGATACATAAATGGTGAACCAGAATATGAAAAGATGCTTAACATCACTGATCCTTAGAGAAATGCAAATCAAAACCACAATCAGATATCACTTACACCCAATAGAAAATAACAAATGTTGAAAAAAAAGGAACGCTTGTACACTGTTGGTAGAAATATGAAAATATGAAAAATACTAATGTCTCCTCAAAAAATCAAAAATAGAACTACCATATAATCCAGCAATACAATTTCCATGTATATATCCAAAATAATTGATATCAGGGTCTCAAAATATTTGCACATGCGTGTTCGAAGCAGCATTATTCACTCAGACAAGGTGGGAAGCAACCCAAACATCCATCCACAAATGAATAGACAAAATGTGGTATATGAGTATACATACAAAGGAAGATTATTCAGACTTAAAAAGAAGGGAAATCGTGATATATGATGCAACATGGAACCTGGAGGACATTATGCAAAGTGAAATAAGCCACTCACGAAATGACAAAATTTGTGTGGTCCCAATTTTATCAATCAAATTTTCAGAAGCATAAAATAGAAAGGTGATTGCCAGGGGCTGGGAGGAGGGGGGGAATTGAGACTTGAAAGAGTACAAAGTTTTCGTTTCCCAAGATTAAAAAGTCCTGGATATCTGCTGCACAAAGTTAAGTATATCTGGATATCTGGATATCTGGATATACTTAATGCATTTTCTACCAAAAAGGATGTTGAAAAGGATAAATTATAAGTCACCCTTAAATTCTATTCCTGTGTCCTGGTGAACAGCTAACTGAAATGCAAGACATTTCAGACCAATGCCCTATGAAAGTTCAGTTAGAGGGCCGGCCCATGGCTCACTTCGGAGAGTATGGTGCTGATAACACCAAGGCCACAGGTTCAGATCCCTATATAGGGATGGCTGGTTAGCTCACTTGGGAGACCGTGGTGCTGACAACACCAAGTCAAGGGTTAAGATTCCCTTATCGGTCATCTTTTAAAACAAAAAAGAAAAAGAAAAGAAAGTTCATTTAGGACCAGGAAAGGAAGCCAAAAACAGAGTTTTTCTGTCCTTGGCCTCTAAGAATTAGAGAGCAACATATGGAGGCAGACCCATTGATCCCAAAAATCCAATTAGACTAGAGGCTTATGGAAAACAGCGAATGTCTGAGAGATATGTAGTCACCATTAGGAGCCAGGACCCCAAGTCCAGATAGGAAAGCAGTTTTAATGTTTCACTCAATAAACCAGCCTGGCTAGGAGTCAAGACAGACATGCCTCCTGCCAAAAAGGGCTCCCTACGAAATAGTGTTACACAGATAGTTCCAAGGGATTATCACTGAGCCATGGTGTGTGTATCTGAAATTATCTTAGTATTTACTAAAACTTGCTTGAATATAAACTCCGTGAGGGCTGGGATCTCATCTGGTCTTTTAACTATTGCATCCCCACTGCCTAGATCTGTGTCTAGCACATAGTGGGAGCTCAGCATATATGTTTTTTAATAAATAGGGTTCAAGGAACTAAAAAACAAAACACAAATAAAAACAATAGAATCGCTGGATAGCAATAAAACCATTTTTCATCACATTTTTCCCAGCAAAACATTTTAAAAAATGACTCTATAGAAAGATCAAACCCAGCGTTTGTGTTAAAAAAGATAAAAGAACAAAAATGTTTTCAGCATCCTAGGGGCCTTAGGGTGTGACATGTAGATAATGCCTGGTAAGCAATAGGGCTTGTAAGGCTGTTATCCCAGAGCAGCCCTGGACAGACGGGAGGCTAGAGAACAAAGGGACTGTCTCAGAGAGTGTGGGGGTCTGTTTGGTCTATTGGAGTTTAGCACACAGTAAGCTCACATTTTATAAAGAAATGATTACACTGAATCACTTGTTGTACCAACAGGCTAGGGTCAGAAAAAAAACACAAAGAAGGAATTAAAACCCCAACTTACTATAAGCAAGAAATATGCAGAAAAGCTGGACAACCACCAACTCATGCATTTAAAAAGCGTAATGTTGACACAGAACGGTGAAGGCACAAAAAGCAGGGTGAAGAGGCATGGGGCGTCTTTCTCATGGACAAGGACTAGACCCAAATCAAAGAACTGCAGCAGGTGCCTGATGGGAATAAGTGACTGGTCAGACCAGTGCCTGCACATGCCTCCCCTCCCCCCAAACCTGTCTGAAGGGAAGTGACCACATGTTCATGCCAGTCTCCTCACTTGTGCTGGCTGTGTTTGGAGGGGCAGGTGACAGGCCACTGGACCTGATTCAGTTAGGCTTTCAGCCAGTTCCATAACAGCTAAAGATTCCTGGGGTTCTTAAAAGGGGTAAAGTATATTTTGCACCTGAGAGAAATGCAAATAATTTGTGGCCAGAGGTCAAACTGTGGTTTATTAAAGATTTCTGAAAATTCTTATTATTCCTCTGATTGAGAGATGGAATCAATTAGCCCTCCTCTTGAATCAGGGCTGATCTTAGTGATGTGCTTGAATAAGAGAATGTAGTGGAAGAAATGCTCTGGGGGACTCCTGAGGGGAGATCAGAAGCCTCGCAGCTATTGCCTGTATGTCTTAGACCCTTGCTCTGAGAGAAGCCAGACAAACCTGACTACCCTGAGATGCCAGACTGTGAAGAAGTACAACCTGGCCACAAAGAGAGGGCTGATTGCCTGCCCAATGTCCCAGCCACTGGTGTCCTTCCAGCAGAGACCAGAGACATCATGCAGCAGCCAACCCACACTGCTCTGTCCAGTTCACTGACCCACAATATTGTGACATGTGATAAGAAGCAATTCCTGTTTTAAGCAACTGTTACCGTACATTGTTACACAACAGATAACTGGAACGCTGAAAAAGTCATTAGCGAACGCAAGAAGTACCTCCACTTTAAACGTGGAGTGTGCAGATTTAAATTGAGTATCAGCTTCAAAACAAATGAATACAGCACTTTCATGTTTCATGTTAGACCTCAAACTATAATTCTGAATTTAAAATGTTCAGGTAATTAGGTTGTTGCTTTTTGGGGGGTTTTGATTTTTTTTGGCAGCTAGGCAGTAACTTTTGGTTCTTAATCAACTATTAGCTACAGTTCTTGTCCATAACATACCTATGACTGATGCGCACACCCATTTTTCCTTACTTATTTTTTAAGTGGTTACGTGAAATAGAATTAAATACAACCTGTAAGAGTTTGAAAACACGACAGGTCTTCTTGAACTACAAACATACAATTGTATATGAATAAAAACTAAAGATAGAATCAATGATGTACATTTACATAAGCAAAAGGTACACATCATAAACATCTGTGCTTCTTATTTCTATTCTTTTTATTGACAATTGTTAAAACATGTTGCACTAACTCTTGTGGACTCCTAAGGATGTCACAGGTGCTGTCTACAAGCACAGTTCACCAGGCATTGAACCTCACCTCCAGCAAACATGTCCTTCAGATTTTACCAAAAGTGACATTCCTAATGTAACAAAGGTACCATGTCTGAGAGCGCCAACAGCTCCTCCCCCTATCCTGACACTGCATGCAGACATGAGAATAAAATGTAAAGAACAAACAGAAGTAGCAGGACTTGACATCAGAGGAGATTAGACCTAAGAGAGAGGGAGCACAGGAGAAATCTAATTTTAGTGCACTGGGTCACTGGCTGGATGGCAGTGATACCATATGTAAGGGAAGAGAGGAGGATATGGTTTTCATTTTGGAATTTTCAGCCTCAGGTGCCTTCTGGATAGTTACAAAGAAGCTTTTGATAGGGAGTTAAACTTATGGCCAAAAGTCTGGGAAAGGGGTACAAGCTGGAGAGAAACAGTTAGAACCACCAAACCACAGAGGGCTGAATGGGTCAAGGAGAACTGCAGAGTGAGACAAGTGGGGAACAGGATAGAGCACTTGGATGAGCTAAGCTAAGGAGAAGAAAGTCAAAGAATTCAGGGAGAAAGAGAATGCACCATCAGTGAGGTCATAATGGAAGCAACACTGAAGAATGCACAGGAGAGGATTATGAACAGTAGTTTCTAATATGACAGAAGACTCCAGTGAAGCTCATTTGACTATAATCTAGGTCATCGGTGAGCTTTAGAGAAAATAAACTAAGATGACACTGAGTGGGACAAAGTGCAAATGTACAGTGGGAACAACTGCCATAAACTATAACTCTGGGGCCAGCCCCGTGGCTCACTCGGGAGAGTGCGGTGCTGATAGCGCCGAGGCAGTGGGTTCGGATCCTATATAGGGATGGGCAGTGCGCTCACTGGCTGAGCGTGGTGCAGACGACACCAAGCCAAGGGTTGCAATTCCCTTACCGGTCAGGAAAAAAAAAACCCAAAAACTATAACTCTGAACATTGTGCTGCATAACCTGCATGTACTGATGAAGTGAGAAAAGCGTGTGCAGATTCCCAGGTGAGGCACATGTAAAAAAGAAAAAAAAAATGTATGGAGAGGTATTTAAGCACCTGTGGTGGACTCAATCGTCCAGATATTCCAGGTTTTATCCATGAATCCAGTATGTCCGCCTTCCACAAGCTGTCCAGCACCACCCTATTTTAGCAACTCCACAAAAACCTTACATGAGGTGTGCTTTAGCAGTAGGTTACCATTTCCACTGCTTAATGCTAAAAGTGCTTATCTCCAAGTTGGTACTGAAAAACTTTCCACTACATCATCTATGTGACCAGTGAAGACAGTGTTCCAGCAAGTCTTCATGTCCCATGAGAATTTTGTATGCTCTCTTCTTAGGTTCCATTCAAATCATGTAACAAATGAGACTGTCTTTTTGTAATGATGTGAGAAAGATCAGGGACAAATCTGCACTAAACTTAGAGATTTTAACTTCTAGAATCTGCTTCTATCAACGTTCCAACTTGATCTTATTTACGTTCGTTTAGTTCAAGCCCAGATTTTCTTATTTCTACTTTCCCATTTTAATTGACAGACCCCATAAAGCTAACAAAATGAAATGTAAAACAAAGTGAGGAACAACTAAGCAACAACTCACCAGAGATTTGTCCATTTTCTGTTGCTCTTGGAAGCGCATGGAGCACGTTGGCAGCACAGCTAGGAGAGAAGGGGAATGGAGTAGATTAAGGAGAGAACTGGTGTGGCTTGGTGCCAGATTCTCCTGCCCAAAATCCCCTACACATGAGCTGAAAAAGACAATAGAAAAAAGAAAAGCCTCCTTATGGGAGAATATCCCTTTACACGTCAGTAAGGGGCAACAAAGACCCCATGAAAGATGCATCTACAAGCACAATAATTGGTAGATATGAGACATGATGTAGCAACAATTAACTTTACTTAAGGATATAGTTTAATAACTTAAACCATATAAAGTAACATTATGTCTTCACTTAAATTAACATTACAGAAATATACTTGAGCTGTATTAACTATCTTCCTATTCATAATCCACACAGGACTCCATATGAGTGTCTCCACTACAACTCATCTTACTTTTATATACCTAAACATCATGCAAGTATGCACGTTGCAACCCAACATTTTTAGTCCATGTGATGGAGTTTGGATGTGTTGTCTCCTCCAAAACTCATGTGGAAATTTGATCTCCAATGTGACAGTGTTGGAAACTGATTGATTCATGGGGGTGGATCCCTCATGAATAGATTAATGCTCTCCCTGGGGGAGGGGGGATTAATGAGTGAGTTCTCACTCTATTAGTTCCTGCAAGAGCTCGTTGCTTTAAAAGACCCTGGCACCTTCTCTCTCTCTCTTGCTTCCTCTCGCCATGTGATCTGCTCGTACTGACCAGCAGCCTGCCACTTTCCACCATGAGTAGAAGCAGCCTGAGGCCCATGCCAGACGCAGCTGTCCCAGAATCATAAGCCAAATAAACTGCTCTTCTTTATAAGTTATCCAGTCTCAGGTATTTCTGTTATAGCAACACAAAACGGACTAATATAGAACATTGGTACCAGGAGTGGGGTATTGCTATACAGATACATGAAAATGTGGATGCAGCTTTGGAACTGGGTAACGGGCAAAGGTTGGAGGAGTTTCGAGGACTCAGAAGAGAAAAAGACGAGGGAAATTCGGAATGTCTTAGAGACTTATGTGGTGGCGAGCAGAATGCTGATTGAAATGTGGACAGTAAAGGCCATGTGGATGATGAGGTCTCAGATAGAAATGAGGGACTTATTGGGAATTGGACAAAAAAGTAACCCTTGCTACACCATAGCAAGAAGCCTGGCTGCACTGTGTCCATGTGCTTGGACTTTGTGGAAGTTGGAACTTAAGAGTTGTAAACCAGAGCATTTGACCAAAGAAATTTCTAAGCAGCAAAGCATTAAGGACGCTGCATGGCTACTTCTAACAGTCTACTCTGAGTTATGGCAGCAAAGGCATAACATAAAGGCAGAATTTAAAAGGGAAGCAGAGCGTAAAGTTTTGGAAAATTTGCAGCCTGGCCATGTGGTAGAGAAGTGGAGAGCAGGAGAAAAACGCAAGGGTGAAGCTGATAAACTGTTTGCTAAGGACACTATCTTGGTGGTGAGGCAGCCAAATGCTAAGAACCAGGACAATGGAAAAAATGCCCTAAAGGCATTTGAGAACTCCAGAAGGGTGCCCCACCCATCACAGCCCCTAAGGCAAAGAAGGACTGAGTTATCCTGGAGGACAGACCTGGAGTGCAGCTGCCCTAGGGATCATGCTCCCTGAATCCCAACTGCTCCCACTGGAGCAGCCCTGGAGAGTAGAGGCCTGAAACCTAGGTGGTGTCGTTAAGTCTGCAGGCCAGCAAGACATGTGAGCAGTGGAGGTGTGGCAGCCTCCACCCAGATTCCAGAGGATGTATGGAAAAGCCTGGGGCCACTACAGAGGACATCTACTAGACCAATGCCAAGCAGGAAAGTAGGGTCAGAGCCCCCAGAGAGAGCCCCCACCAGGGAAATGTTTAGTAAAGCCAATGTAGCAGGGCTGCCACCAGGACCCCAGAACTTCAAGGCCACTGGTAACATGCAACGCAGGCCTGGAAAAGCCACAGGCACCAGCATGGCCCACTGGGCTGTGCCTGCCAGAGCTGTGGGAACAAGGCTGCCTGATGCTTTGGGGGCCCAGATGCCCAATTGTACCCAGGATGCAAGACTTGGAGTCAAAGAACATTATTTTGGAGCTTTAAGACATAATGTCTGCTTTGCTGGGTTTCAGACTTATTTGGGGCCTTTTCTCCTTTCTTCTGGCCCATTCCTCCCTTTTGAAATGGAAATGTATACGCAATGTCTGTTCCACCATTGTATCTTGGCAGTACATAAATTTGGTTTAGTTTTTCAAGTTCACAGCTGGAAAGACTTTTGCTTTTGGTCTCAGATGAGACTTTGGACTTAGGACTTTTAAGTTGGTGCTGGAGCAAGCTAACACTTTTGGGACTCTTGGGATAGAATGATTGTATTTTGTATATGAGAGGAACATGAGTTTTGGGGGGCCAGGGGCAGAGTGATGGAGTTTGGATGTGTTGTCCCCTCCAAAACTCATGTGGAAATTTGATCTCCAATGTGTCAGTGTTGGAAACTGATTGATTCATGGGGGCGGATCCCTCATGAATGGATTAATGCTCTCCCTGGGGGAGGGGGGATTAATGAGTGAGTTCTCACTCTATTAGTTCCCGCGAAAGCTCATTGCTTAAAAGACCCTGGCACCTTCTCTCTCTCTCTCTCTCTCTCTCGCTTCCTGTCGCCATGTGATCTGCTTGTACTCACTCGCTGCCTGCCACTTTCTGCCACGAGTAGAAGCAGCCTGAGGCCCATGCCAGACACAGCTGTCCCACAATCATAAGCCAAGTAAACCTCTCTTCTTTATAAGTTACCCAGTCTCAGGTATTTCTGTTATAGCAACACAAAATGGACTAATACACCATGGTTATATAGAAAAAAAGGTACATAATTTGTATTTCTTGTGGTACACTGTTCATGTGGTAATGTTTCCCAGAGACAGGTCTTCCTGTGTCCAAGCCCTCATATAGTATGCCCTGATAATGAACTGGGCTTTACCATTTGATTTGAAATGTGATGTGAATATAGGTTCAAAAACTACTTGCCAATACTGCTTGTCTTCTTGGACACAGTCATAGTGTGAAGAAGCCTGGTGCTACTCTGTTGGAGACACAGGGCCTAGCCAAGATTCAGCACAAATCACCAGGCACACAAGTGAAGTCATCTTAAACCAACCAGCCTCAGTCAAAGCACCAGGTGACAAACGCCTCATCTGTGATCCAGGCAACACTAGCACAGGAACTGTCCAGCTGAGTGCACCATAAAATGCTGATCCACAGGACTTCAAGCAGATAAAATGGTTGGTATTTTTTAAGCCAGTAAGTTTTGGTAGGTTCTTTATGCAGGAGATGCAAACTGACATATCTAAGCCACCAGAACACAATATAGTTTTAACAACATTAGTGGAGAAGAAAGTCTTCAATTACTTGTCAAATACAATCAATACAACTCCACCTACAAGTTTTGAAAATCACAAGGAATGTAACTGGATGAGTTACAGTGAGCTTCCTGTCACTAAGAGATGCCATGTGAATCATAAAAAGCAATTGTGGGGCCGGCCCATGGCTCACTTGGGAGAATGTGGTGCTGATGACACCAAGGCCACGGGTTCGGATCCCTGTATAGGGATGGCTGGTTGGCTCACTTGAGAGAGCGTGGTGCTGACAACACCAAGTCAAGGGTTAAGATCCCCTTACCAGTCATCTTTTGAAAAAAATAAAAATAAATAAATAAAAAGCAATTGTGTGCACTTCAGTAAACTATGCTTTAGCCTTCCCCCCCCCCCCGCATAAAAAGTCTGCTTACTTAAAAAGAACACAAGACATAAAGTGTTACTTAAAAGTGAGCACTGTACTGCACATTATTTACATTTTAACAAATTGCTTCGTAGTGGCAATGTGATGCAGTCTAACCTTCTCAGTTTATGGGTTTTTTTTGTTTTGTTTTGTTTTTTGGTGCTGACCAGTATAGGGATCCGATCCCTCAACCTTCGTTTTAGCAACACCACCCTCTAACCTTCTGAGCTAACCAGTAATGTAAAATAAGGTACCACCATTTTCCTGCAGAATTTGGTTTCAACATCAGATTACTGCCAGTAACTGGGAAACACCTGTGTTATTGCTATCTTTTGAGGTCACATAATCCACAGCAAGTGTTTGGGATAAAAAAGAACAGGGTTGTTAAAGGCAAGGTAAGTTCAAGCACCGTTTGTTCTAAGTTGATTTCAGTGTCCCAAAAATAATCTCAAAAGAAAACACACACTTGTTTTGATGTAAGTATGGAAAAATGGATAACGTTAGTGGAAACAGCCAAAGAATCAGGATGCCTAACATCTACAAATCATGTGACCTTGGGCAAGCCACGTCTTGTCACATCCAATTTTTGTTACTCTTTCTTACAAGATAGAAGTACCTTGGCAAACCCTTCCTGAACTACCAGGAAGAACTATGAGAAAAATGGAAGCGTCAGTATATCTCTAGATGCCAAATTTAGCGATACGCTGGGTTTGAGGGAACTCAGACACTGGAAACTGTGCGAAGATTAAAGGAATGGGAGTGTGTTTAGCGAGCACTGCAGGTAGATCCTCTCGGGTATGACAGGTTGTTCCTCCACCCCAGACCAGGCCTTCAAGCCTCTTCAAATAAGTAACTTTTCCCAGGTCCTTGCCTAGCCTTCTCAGCCAAACTCACCTGTCCCTTCTGAAAGTTGGTCCAAACCTTCCAATACCACCCAGTCTCTGACAGGTATTGAATGAGGTATTATCGACCAACTCTTGTGCACTCTGCGCACTAGGATCAACAATGGCTTGGGTTGTGCAAAAGCTAGAATAGTCACTTTTCTGAGGCTCTCTGGCCTCTTCTCTGAAGAGCTACAGAGAGGGTTCAGGCCAGAAGGCTGTTCTTTCAAGTGGGATTCCTATTCACAGGGCGCACTCCGTCAAACTCTGTAACCCCCACTTCACTCCAAAGAACCCGGACCATCACCCAGTATCCCCATCTCCCTCCTAGAACTCAGTGTCCCTAGAAACTAGTACGGGTGAAAACTTCCGTAAGCGCAAGCCAGGGGTGCTAAGCAGGCTACACGATGCAGGAGGGGACCAGAAACCACACAGCACAAATGCACAGGAAACCTGGGGCATCGCACGAGCACTGCTGACGCGCTCACCTAACACAAGGGTCAGCTGGCAGAGCTGGAACGTGACCTCCCGCGCTCGCGCCGTCTGCAGGACCCCCTTTCCGTTCCCGGGGCGCCTGGAACCGGTTCCCGCATACGCGGAGCGCGCGCCCGGCCTCCACGCAGCGCCGTTCTCTGGCACAGCAGCCGGCGGACGCGCAGCCCGAGCCGCCCCTTCCCCAGCCCAGCCCGGCCCCGCCGAGTGCCGGGGCGCCCGCCCCGCTCCCCAGGGCCCCCAGGCCTGCGGGGCTCCGCTCTCAGCCCCGCACCACCTTCGGGACGCAGAGTCCAAGTTCCGAGACCGAGGAGCAGCCCGTGACAGGAACAACCGCCTGTCGCTGCGGGGAATATGGCGGCGGCGGATGGAGCCACGCATGCGCAAGAGGCGCCCGTGACAGCTCTTCCGGCTGCGCTGTGCTGGTGACGTCACTGGGGTCGCGACGGCATTTCCCGCAAGCCTCTGCGGCGCTCCCTTAGTAACCTGCAGAGTCCTCTGACCAGAGACCCGCGCGACGGCTTGGAAGTGGTCTGTGTCCACGTGACAGCGCGGGAAGCTCGGGTTCTTTATCGACAACCTGGGACATGATGGGGAAATTCAAATGAGGGCCATTAGTCGACGATATGGTAACGTTACTTTTAGTTCTTATATAGGTGTTGCTGTTATAGAACTCACGTCTATTTCTTTCTTTTTTTTTTTTTTTTTTTTTTTTAAAAAAACATGCTAGTTTAAAGCCAGTTCTACTTTATGCATATGCATTCTAAGTGAAACCGAGGGGGTACCCATCCGGATACCGCCCCCCAGAAGTTCATGAAAATGAGCAGTGGCCTTGGTCCCTCAAGCTGACAGCGATTTAAGCTCGGGAAACAGGGCTCCCAACTAGGGACTTGGGATTTATGACCAGTAGTTGGGGAAGGGGCTACAAAGAAGGCAGCTGTGCGAGCAGCGGTGTCACCTGAGTGATAGGAGGGACCACAGCACAGGGTCACTAAGTTCTGGGGACGGAAAACAGTATCTCGAAACATGTCCTCGAGATGTCCTCACAGGACAGTAATCAGGACTTCCCAGCCCTCGGAATGTGCTGACTGAAGGTGAACTGTCAGGAGACAGGGTTGGTAGGAGCCGGATGAGCGACAGCAGAATCCGAAAGCTGCTTTTTTGTTCCTGGACGTCCTGCTTCTATGTCCTGGGAGGCTCAGCCAAGCAGAAGCGTCACCAGCTCCCTGCACAGCCCCTTCCCGGTCCCCGACTGTGAGCTGTGGGGAGCTCAGGATTTTTCCGAGCACTAGTGACCTGATTTCCATTACTTGGCCTTGTCATCAAAGCTTAATTCCCCTCACGAAACTCGGTGTCAGTGCTTTGGCTTTGGCCGCACGTGGGTGAACGGACCCGAGCTTTGTTCGGTTACATCAGGTGTGAACAATCAAGTGTCTGCTTTACTTTTCTTAAGAAACAGCAATTACTATGGTAACTCTCTTCCCACTCATAGAAGGTGTTTGTTTTCAGCCCTGAACTAGTTCTCTCGTCTCCAGGGGATGACACTCGGCGGGGACAGCCAAGCGCGGACGGGGCTCCTGGCCCCGGCCTCTGACCGGGCGCTGGAACGTCTGCAGCCCCGTGGGTCCCTGAGTCGCCCGCGTGCGGCCCTCTCGCTCCCGGGCCCCCAGGCCGTGTGGGCTGCGTTCCCCCGCACGCCCGGGGCACCACGTACAGGGATACCCCTGTCCGGGCCTGCAGGCTCCTGAAGGTCCCCTCTGTCCCCCGCATGCCCGGGGCACTGCGCACAGGGATCCCCCCATGTCCGGGCCTGCAGGCTCCTGAAGGCCCCCTCTGTCCTCCACACGCCCGTCTCCACGCTTCTGTCCCTGGGACGCTGGAAGCCAGGGACCGTGCACCTGACCTGACCTCGTATTCTCCATCAGGAACGACGGCTGTGTGTCTGCACATCCAGGACGGCCTGGGATGCGGGTCAGGTGGAGGATTTAGCAGCGGTGTCGACACGCTGGGCAGGGACCCGGCCCTCAACAGGGGACTGTGCACACTCCGGAAGCAACCAGCAGCCCCTTCCCCAGCCCTTGACCAGGTGGGACCTGAAGCCCCTGGACAAAGCCAGACACTAATGACATTGTAAGGACAGCTTTTCATCAGTGACATACAACTGCACCAGGAAAAAGAGAGAAGTGACTCAGCTCCAAGAGGTGACGGGGAAGAAAAGCGAGTGTTTAAAGACTATAGAGTCTCAGTTGGGGAAGATGAAAAAGTTCTGTACATGGATGACGGTGATGGTTATGCTGCAATGTGCGTGTAGTTAACGCCATCGAAATGTATACTTTGAAATGGTTTAAATGGCAAATATTGTTATCTACACTTAATCACGAAGAACAAAGGAATGAAAGACCGATACATGACAACATGGATGACCCTTGCAAACATCCTAAGGGAAAGAACACACACACAAAGGCCACATAGTGTATGAGTCCATTTTTATGAAATGTCCAGAACAGGCAAATCCACAGACAACAAAAGTGAATTAGTGGTTGCCAGGAGCTGGGGAGAAGGGAATAGGAAATGACTTAATGGGTACTGAGTTTCCATCCCCTCTGTCCCCCGCACGCCCGGGGCACCACGTACAGGGATACCCCTGTCCGGGCCTGCAGGCTCCTGAAGGTCCCCTCTGTCCCCCGCATGCCCGGGGCACTGCGCACAGGGATCCCCCCATGTCCGGGCCTGCAGGCTCCTGAAGGCCCCCTGTGTCCTCCGCACGCCTGGGACACCGTGCACAGGGACCTCCCCGTCCGGGCCTGCAGGCTCCTGAAGGCCCCCTCTGTCCTCCACACGCCCGTCTCCACGCTTCTGTCCCTGGGACGCTGGAAGCCAGGGACCGTGCACCTGACCTGACCTCGTATTCTCCATCAGGAACGACGGCTGTGTGTCTGCACATCCAGGACGGCCTGGGATGCGGGTCAGGTGGAGGATTTAGCAGCGGTGTCGACACGCTGGGCAGGGACCCGGCCCTCAACAGGGGACTGTGCACACTCCGGAAGCAACCAGCAGCCCCTTCCCCAGCCCTTGACCAGGTGGGACCTGAAGCCCCTGGACAAAGCCAGACACTAATGACATTGTAAGGACAGCTTTTCATCAGTGACATACAACTGCACCAGGAAAAAGAGAGAAGTGACTCAGCTCCAAGAGGTGACGGGGAAGAAAAGCGAGTGTTTAAAGACTATAGAGTCTCAGTTGGGGAAGATGAAAAAGTTCTGTACATGGATGACGGTGATGGTTATGCTGCAATGTGCGTGTAGTTAACGCCATCGAAATGTATACTTTGAAATGGTTTAAATGGCAAATATTGTTATCTACACTTAATCACGAAGAACAAAGGAATGAAAGACCGATACATGACAACATGGATGACCCTTGCAAACATCCTAAGGGAAAGAACACACACACAAAGGCCACATAGTGTATGAGTCCATTTTTATGAAATGTCCAGAACAGGCAAATCCACAGACAACAAAAGTGAATTAGTGGTTGCCAGGAGCTGGGGAGAAGGGAATAGGAAATGACTTAATGGGTACTGAGTTTCCTTTGGAGGTAATTAAAATGCTCTGGAACTAGATAGATGGTTGCACACAACTGTCACTGTACTGAATTCCACCGAACTGTATTCTTACAAATGGTTAAAATGGTGAAATTTATATCAAGTGAATTTAACTCAAAAAAAAAAAAATGCAGCTTTTTGGAGCCCTGGTTATTCCACTAACACTTGGGACCAAAGCGCAAAGGTCCTGGCAGAAACTCCTCTTTATTTAATATTTTTTATTTTTGTTTGGCTATTGGCCCATGTGGGAATCCAAACCCTTGACCCTGGTGTTATAACACCACACTCTAACCAACTGAGGTGACCTGCCAGGCCCCAAACTCATTCTTTATTATAAACCAATGGCTTTTATGTCTGGACAGTAAAGCACCAAATGATGCCTTAATATACACCTTGCACATAATCACCACATCACCACATGTGTGGATGAATTTCTGTTTATTTGTTTGGCAGCTGACCTGTATGGGGATCTGAACCCCACCCATGAAATTTTCAGGCTGAGCTCTAACCAACTGAGCTAACCAGCCAGCCCCCACAGATGGATTTTTGTCCCTAATGCTCTTCCCTCGATACAGGTGGGTTTTTTTTCTTTTTTCTTTTTAAAAGACTAAGATCACAGAAAACACATTCTCTGACCACAACAACAGAAGGAAATTTAGAAAACTCACAAATGTGTGGACATTAAACAACACTCACCTAAATAAACAATGGGTAAAAAGAAAAATCACAGGGAAATTAGAGTACTTTGATATAAAGATCAAACCACAACATATCAAAAATTGTAGGATGCAGGGCTCATGCAGTTCTTAGAGGAAAATTTATACTTGTAAACACCTATATTAGAAATAAGAAAAATCTTGGGCCGGCCTGTGGCTCACTCAGGAGAGTGTGGTGCTGATAACACCAAGGCCACGGGTTCGGATCCCATATAGGGATGGCTGGTTGCTCACTGGGTGAGTGTGGTGCTGACAACACCAAGTCAAGGGTTAAGATCCCCTTACCGGTCATCTTTTTAAAAAAAAAGAAAAGAAAAGAAAGAAGAAAAATCTCAAATCACTAATGTAAACTTCTACCTTAAGAAAATAGAAAAAGTACAGCGAACTAAACCAAAAGCAAACATAAGTAGGAAATAACAAAGATTACAACAGAAATATATGAAATGGGGTATTAAAAAATAGAGAAAATCAACAAAACCAAAAGTTGATTCTTTTAAAAAATCAACAAAATTTGCAAATTTTATGTAGACTGACCAAGGAAAAAGAGAGGACCAAAATTACTAAAATCAGAAGTAAAACAGGGGCATTATTACATTGTCACTATGGCTTTTTGTGGGGATAAAATTGAGTTTCTTCCTTTTCCTTGTTACATTTTTGTTCTACCAGTGGATTTTGTTCTTTCATTGTGTATTCGTGGTCATGATTATTGTTTTTCAAACTCCAAATGTGGGACTTCCTTGAGGATTTCTTGTAAGGCTGGTTGTGTAATGGTGAACTGCAGTTTTTATTTGTCTGGAAAATACACTATTTTTCCCTCATTTCTGAAGGATGGCCTTGCTGGGTACAGAATTCTTGGCTGGAAGTTTTTCTTTTAGTATTTTGAATATATCATCCCATTTTCTCCTGGCCTGTAGAGTTTCTGTTGAGAAATCTGTTGTTAGTCTGATAGGGGCTCCCTTGTAGGTGACTTGCTGCTTTTCTCTTGCTTCTTTTAAGATTATCTCTTTGTCTTTGAGCTTTGCCAGTTTGACTATAACATGTCTTGGAGAGGATCTTTTGGACTGCATCTGGGGATCTTTGAGCCTCCTGGATCTGAAGGTCCATGTCTCTCCATATATCTGGAAAGTTTTCCATTACTATTTCATTCAATAGGTGGAACACTCAAGATTCAAATGTTTGTGTGCTTAAGGTTGTCTACTAGCTCTCTTAGATTTTCTTCATTTTTTAAAATTCTTTTTTCCTTTTTTGGTCTGCCTGGGTTTTTTTGTTTTGTTTTGTTTTGTTTTAAAGATGACTGGTAAGGAGATCTTAACACTTGACTTGGTGTTGTCAGCACCACGCTCTCCCAAGTGAGCTAACCGGCCATCCTTATATAGGGATATGAACCCGTGGCCTTGGTGTCGTCAGCACCACGCTCTCCCAAGTGAGCCATGGGCCGGCCCCTGCCTGGGTTATTTTGAAAAGACTATCTTCAAGATCAGAAATTCTTTCGTCTCCTTGTTCTAGCCTGCTGCTTAGGCTATTGGTTGTGTTCTTTATTTTATTGGGTCAATCTTTCAGTTACACGAGTTCTACTACATTTTTTAAAGTATTAATCTCTTTGTAAATTTCCTCTTTCCTTTCCTGGATTTTTTTTTTCTCATTTCATTATGTTGTCTAACTTAATATTCTCATATCTCAGGGAGTTTCCTTAAGATTGTTGCTCAGAACTCCTTCTCAGTCATTTCAAGAATTTCCTGCTCTAAAGGGTCTGGTATTTGAGAATTACAGTATTCTTTTTGTGGTGTCATATTTTCTTGGGTTTTCATATTTCTAGATCTTTGTTGATGTCTGATCATCGGGTAAAGTAGTTCCTTCTTTTATTAGTCAGGAGTGGGCTTTGAGGAGAGAGATGTCCTCTTCTTTTTCCCATCTCCCACTGGTGACTCTCCTTGTGTCAGTGCGGTTGAGTGTCTACTGAGCATGGTGGCTGTGGCTGCTGCTGTGGCATTGAGCCACTTTTTTAGCAGCTGTGGCTTTGGCAGTGTCTGTGGTAGGCCACCCACACAGAAGTGGTGTTTTCAGTGTGCTCTCTTGCCTGCTTCCAGGTGGAGGGGGCTGCAGCCCATGGCTCCTTGCCTAGGACCCCAGGCATGTTCTCTTACCTGTTTCTGTGTGGCTCCTTGCCTAGGACCCTGGGCATGCTCTCTTGCCTCAATGCAAGTAGATATTCAAAGCCTATATGCGGGTTATGGCCTTTCATGTTTTCCATTGAGATCTACAAAAACCCCAATATCTTGAACAACACATCATCTCCACATTGCCTATGCCAGTGATGAAAGGACCTGGACAGTTCCCTGGAGTGTCTGCCAGCACTAGCACAGACCATCCCACACTTCAACTGTGAGGGGCACAACAAGGCCAGGGCAGTCAATGCAGGAACCAAATGGGAATGTTTTTTCCAGATGGGGACACTGCAGGATCTTCAAAAACTCCCACAGGGGTGGGAGGAGATGAAGGTAGAGTGGAGCTGTAAAGGCATCTTCTCCAAAGCCAATAACCTGGCTGTAAAATAAATTTGAGGAGAATGTCCCTATGATGTCAAAGGAGAAGGTCTGGGAGCCTCAACTCACCCCATGCTCTTACCAGGTTCTTGACTCTGCCACAGGAAATAATTCAAGAGCAGAGTCACACAGTAGGAAGTGAGACCAGGTTTAATGTAATGAATAAGAGATACGGATTTCACAGAGAAAGTGCAGCCTAGCCCCAGAGATTGAGCAGGGCCAACTCCAAGTTTAACACAAAAGTAAGAAATACACACTTAAAGTTTAACATGGAGTGCAGGCTACCTGAAGAGACTGAGTAGCCACCTGCTAAAAGTAAGCTTAACACAAAAGTAAAGCACACACCCCTCAGCCAGTGAAGTGTAGGTTGGCCCCAGGAAAGTGAGCCACAACCCCACCTTCTGCCAGGATTCAGCTTTTGTAGTTTAGCTATCTAATACATACTCATGCAAGCCAATGAATATTCAATCATGTGGGTGGTTCCCTGTTATGTAACAGTCTTGCACATACTCAGTCGGCTCCTTTTAGGGCAGGTCCATTGGTCAGATTCTGTCACATGCACTGAACATATTCAAGAATATTCTGTACTCTTTAGCACCCCTAGTGGAAGATCATTCAGAAGATAAACTCCCTTCCCCTGCGCATGCTTGGTCACTCCGGTCATATAAGCCTTTATAAATTCCTTTTACTGAGCATGCTCAGCCACTGGATTTGCGTTAAGTCCGACCCTTGTGGTCTCAATCTCCCTGGGTTGGTAGTAAAATAGGTCTAATAAGCAACAGTAATTCTCCTCAGGGGAGGGTCAAGAGGAGGGGCCTGAGACCTCAGGGAGTGTCCCGAAACCTGAGCCCATGGAAACTGAGCACCTCCTATCTTGCTTATACATCTCTCAGGGGGAAAACTAGAATGCACAGAATGCTTGGAGGACTGCATTCTTTACCTGAGGTGGCAAAATGCTAAGGAGAATGAAGACTTTACTGGCTGAAGTGAACCTCAGTAGGTTCCAAAAATAGCTTCTGAGCAATTTTTCCCATAGCCCTTGCATGGAGGCTGACAATAGAATATGGAATGAATAATCCCCTTGCCCCTTTTTTTCTTATGAAAGTTAAAGTTGCTTAATATCCAGATCAATGTTCACTAACAGAAGATGGAAAGGAGGCATGTTGTTCAAGTGGATGTCACAGAAATATTCCCTCTTGGTTCGTTCCTCTGGGAGAAAAGGGACCATGCTTTTCTTCCCATTTAGATCACTTAGGGTCTCTTTGATCTTCTGATTGACAAGGGCCACTTTCCATCTCTGTATCAAATGGCCTGCAGGGATGCTTCTCTGGCCTAGGGCATAGTCTTGTAGCTGCTGCACTCACTGGACTTGAGTGGGCTTGTTGGTGCCAGAGGCATGACAGGTGGGCAGTTGCTCTGGAAGCCAGAAGAAATGGACAGGGGAGAGATCTATGCAGCCTTTGCAGAGCAGGTTCCTGTCATTGAGTAAATCCAGCCTTTTTTGCCTTGGAATTTCCTCACTAGTATCTCAGATTCGTCCACAAAGTTTGCTATTGCTTATGGTGACACCAGTTTGTGGGTAAGCCTTGAAGGAGCTGGATTGAAAGATGTCACCATATGGAAGGTATAGATCACACCTCTCAATGGGATCCCTCCACACATAAGAAAGACTTCTTTTTGGACACTTTTCATCAAGCTTTTTCTTTTTCACAACACACCTATTAAGCTCCTGGTTTCAAACAGTTTCAACATAGAGCTAACCCTTCTAATTACTTGGAAGATATTTTACTTAGAAGACTGTGGGACTTTTTTTGTTTTTTGGTTTTTTTTTTGAATTTTTGATGCTTTTTTCTGAATCTGGCTGTAATGTTTTGGAGGGATATCCTCGCAGTGTTTCCTCCAAGTTTGTGCCATCAAACCTTGACAGGCCCACGTCTGGCTCCAGCAACACTGTCTACAAAGCCATGTATGCCACAGCCCGTGCCCCATGAGATGCTTCTCATGAGAACAGACCTAGGGGCTGGGAAGAATACGGATGCCAGTGCATTTCCTCTGACAGACAACCCCTCTCAGTTACACTGGCTTCAACAGATGCCCTTTGTCCTCAGTCTGTAAGTTATTGGACTTATCTGTCACAACAGTAGCATCCAATGCATGACAGGCATAGAATCTTTCTCTGGAGTTACAAATACATTTGTACTTGTTCCCTCAGAGGAAATGCTTCAGAAACACAAGGTCTCTACTTCAACTAGTTGATGTCGGAAGTGTACTCAAATAGAAGACCCTGCTGGTGGGAATGTTTGGTCAGGCAGGGCTCAAGGTCACTTCTTCACCACACAGGAGTGTTCACAGACTTGCCCACCCTTCTTTTCCAAATGGGTTATTTTCCAGTCTCACCCACTGTGTCTTCAAGTGACTGTGGAAAGGAGTTTTTTTTTTAATCCTTCTTCTGTCCAAGACACTCTACTGTCGGGTTTACATAATTCATCTCACTTAATTCTGGACCACCTTGAAAAGGCTACCTCTATTTCCCAGTTAAAGACAAAGAATATAATTCTAAGAGAGATTAGGTCCATGACCCAAAACCTAACAGTGATTCCTGCAGAGTTAGCTCAGATCTGAAGTCAGGTATTTGCAGAGTTCTCATCATTCATAGAGTAAGGGGGGGGGGGGGGCCCTTGATCTCAAGTTCAAGGTGTACCTGGCATTTAAATTAGCATATTAGGACATGTATTCAAAGATACATATTTGAACACATGCATTTTAATACATAAAGTTTTATTGTGCCAAGTGTGTCATCTACTATCTTTTATGATAGTCACATGATATTGTGTTGTACAATGCAAATATTCCTATTTTTACACTTGAAAGTTAGCAATGCAAGTGATTTTCTATACAGGTAGCATCTAAAATATTTTAAATGTTTTCTTGTTGGGATTGTTCTATTTTTCGAATTCACTTTTCATTACATGGCAATGCATCTCATTTAGCTCCATTGTAACCTGGGGAGCAGCCAGGTTAACAATACTGCTGGGGAGCAGGTTTCGTCATATGAGAAAAGAAAACATCTGGCTCGATATGATACTCTGATCTATGAGAACTTTAGTGCTGGACTGTAGATTCTGGTGAGGGTGGGACGGTTTGTCCCTCAGTCTCCATGGGGTCAAGAATATGCCATCCAGCAGGACGTGACAGAGAACCCACTGGGTTCACTGAAGTCAGGTGCAGTTCTAAGGTTGGATGTACACCTGCCCTAAGTCCCACAACAGAGCTCTGGCATGAAGTGATTATACCCCTCACTGCGCCTCTCTGCCTTTCTCATCAGATGCAGACCAGTGTGTGACGTGTCCACATGACCAAGGCCCAAACAGTAGCAGAGATGGCTGTCTCCCACAGGCTGTGACCTTTCTAGCTTTCAAGGATCCCACGGGAAGTACTCTGGCCAGCACTGCTCATTCCTTCTCTGCTCACATCTGTGGTCCTGCGGGTCTTTGGGAAGCACCAAGACCCCAACCAGACTCTCAGCTGCACCGTTCTCCTCTGCCCCAGCTCAGCCACCTGTGTCCCCTGGAAAGCCACATTTGGAGTCGTGTTCACTGCAGCTGTTTCCTCTCTTTTGGCCAAAACCATCGCTGTGGTCCTGGCTTTCAAGGCCATGCCCCTGGGAGGAGAGTGAGGCTTTGTTGAGTCCTCCAGTGGACAGACCGGAGGGGCTCCCTACAGGGGTCCCTGGAATCCTGGGGGTACGAGCAGTCACAAGTGGGCATTGCTGAGATGGGAAGAACAGAGGGCAGAGGACAACTGGGGAGAAGAAAGAACAGGATTCAAGAAAAAAGAGGGCGAGTCAGCTCCAAATCCTCTGTGTGGTCTTTCAGGCCCGGCCAAGCTCTACCTGGCGGACCTCCTGGGGAAGCCGCCCTCCCCGCAGACATGGTGACCAGTGGTGCAGCCTCTGAGAACAGCTGCAGGCAATGTCCCAGAGCCCTGGCCCACGTCTGCCTTCTGAGCACAAGTGCATCCATATGGAAGCCTTTACTGGGGGCCTTCGGCAGAGGACTTCCAGACTCCTCTGGTGAGGGTCCTTACTAAGGAGGGGAGAGCCTAGGACTCAGCGCCCAGGACTTTTCCATGCAGGCTCTTCCCCCCGCCTCAGGGTCCATAACCTGGAGGAGCCTTTTGTTCAGGCCAGCCCCCCAACCATGTGCTGATCCACCTGACCCTTGACCCTACTGTTGGGAGTGGGAGGTGGCCTCCTGAGTATACATCACAGTGCGTGAATTTTGTGAATTTACTCTGGCTTTGGCTTGTCTTAATCAGCCCCTGGACACCTGTGCTCAGCTGAAAGTTCCCTCCCCTATGCTTAAGGGATTCAGTCCTTGGAATAGCCATAAGGAACAGAGGCACCGATACCATTTGTCAAACAACTAGCCTATTTTACTAAAAATCCACACGTACTTTACATTTTACAAAAACAGCATCCATCAGATCTCCTGGTCCATTCCCTAACCCCACAGAAGAAAGGGGATATCCAGGGAGCTATGAGGACAGGCCCCACCAATGCTCAGGGCTTCCCAGGCACCCACAGGACCTGCTCTAGTGCAGGGGGTAGGGGCAGAAGAGCCCACTCACAGCTCCCATCAGCCTGGGGCCCCTGGAGCCATTCAAGTCTCTTATCACCTAACCAGGGCCAGAGGGGCCACCTAGGTGAGGGCCCTGCCAGGACCTCAATGCACTGACCTCAGCCAGGGCATCAACTGGACTCACAGATGGCCCTGCCCGGGTGGGCTCTGGCCTCAGGAGGAGGAGACCGGGTACGCACAGTGGTTGCGGTCAGTGTCGCCCAGGGCCAGGGTCAGGGACAGGCTGGGCTTCTGTCCCAGCTCCTCGTCCTCTAGGCAGCGCTGTGGAGGTCGGGCTTTGAAGAAGTCTGAGACATAGCGCACCTGGGAGAGGGAGGAATGTGAGAGACTGGCTGGGGCCAGGCAGGGAGGGGGGTGTGGGAGTGAGCAGGAGGGGAGGAATGGGGTCCAGGATGAGGTGGGGGGGTGAGGGTGAGGAGGGAACCCAGGAGGGGAGGGGCACTGTAGGTGGGCAACAAGAAAAGCAGGTGCTGGATGGGAGGGCAGGCTCTTGGGGGAAGACTGCAGTAGAGAGTACAGGGTCCCTGGGATGGGAGGGCCAGGTGGTTGAGGGGGGGCTAGGTCCTGGATTGGGGTCTGTGGACAAATCCGGGACAGGGCCCAAGAACTCACAGTGAGGCCAGCCACCAGTGCTCCCTGCAGGAGGCCAACGAGGACATCACTCCAGTGGTGCTTGTGGTCAGACACGCGGGTGTAGCCCACGTAGAGGGCAAAGGCCAGCAGGAAGAACTGGACCGTGGGACGTAGGAGGCGAGCCCACTTCCAGCAGAGCCGCGCCTGCACATAGAGCTGGGGTGGCGCAGGGGACGTGGTCAGCCTGGGTGCCCACTGCACGGATGGGAGAGCTGGGCAGGTCAACCCAGGGCCTCCAGCTTTTATGAACAAACTGGCCAGGCCCCCCCATCACCACCTGCCCCCAGGGAAGGGGAGGGATGTAGGCCTGGTTGCCGGAGAAATGGACTCACCACCAAGAACATCATGCAGTACATCCCGAAGGAGGAGTGACCCGAGTAAAAAGACAACCTGAGGAGAGAGAAGGCAGCAGGGGTCAGGGATGTCCAGGGCACAGCGCAGTCCATCCACAGCCAGAGATCGGGCAGCTTCCTCAGTATCTCGGCTCTTCAAAGCCCTGACTGGTCCCTGTCTCCAACTGCGACGTTTCCCAAAGTCTGGGACCCAGACCAAGGGAGGATTTCACAGGGAAACGCAGCCAGCGTGAGACACCAACAAATCCCAGCGGGAGAACGTTCTCTCTGCTCTCCTTCAGTTCTGACAAGGGAATGAATGTCTCTAATAACTGCCACCAACAAAGACACTGTAGGCCCGAACTCAGAACCCAAGGCTGACAACCGCGTCCAGCAAGCAGCAGCTAAGGCCACAGCTCTGTTTTCACTGTTTTCCAGGATTACTTCCTGTCTGTGGTTAACTGAGGGAAGTTTCATGTTGTCTTTTTATATAAATTCAAGATTTACAACAGAGCATCGATGGAAAACAGAAAATGGCAGAGCAAGGAACTCCAAAAGCAAGGAAAACACTGGCAAAAAGGTCACAAGCACCTGTGCCGGAACACAAGAAACTAACAAAAGCTTGCAGCAACCACAGGAACACTTAAGCAAGACTAACCAGCTGAGTCTCAGTGAGAACACACAGTTCTGTGGCATCTGAACCCACCCTGGTCCCACTCTCCTGCCCCCAGATGGCATTCCCAGCACAGGCACCAGTCTGGCGGCTCCCTGGAGCACTGACCCACCTGAGTGGTATTTGTCTGGAAATGCTCTAGAGAATGAAGGCTTGAAATCTAGAAGGCCAGAGCTGTGTCACCTCAGGACAGCCCTGACCGGGCCTGGCTGACCTTTGGGCAGAGTTGTAAATATGCTGAATGACTGTTCGGTGTTGAAGTGCTGCCTCAACATGCACACAGGCCCTGCTGCAAACTCTGAGAGACTTTTTTTTTGGTTCCAGGTTTTAAGGAAATCTCTGTCCAATCACTAGCTAACCACTAAGCTGACAAAACAGAACTTCACGGCCACACATGATAAAGAATACAGACTACAAAACTGGTTCATAAACATCACTAAACCAACACAGAACAATAACTACAACAGACAGCAACAACAAACTTGGGGGGGGATTGGAATCACATTTCTGGAGTTGCTACATTATAATATTCATAATGCCCAGTTTGGGGCCGGCCCGGTGGCGCACTCGGTAGAGTGCGGTGCTTGGGAGTGTGGTGGCGCTCCCGCTGAGGGTTTGGATCCCATATAGAGACCGGCCCACTCACTGGTTGAGCACGGTGTGGGCGCGACACCGAGGGTTGCGATCCCATTGCCGGTCGCGGTACGGGCACGACACTGAGGGTTGTGATCCCGTTACTGATCATGAAAAAAAAAAAAAAAAAAGCCCAGTTTTTAACAAAAAATTACAAGGCATGTAGAAAAAAAAGTGTGGACATTACAGGGGAGGGATCTATTAATAGAAGTGGTCCCTGAGGAAACCCAGATGTTGGACTTACTAGATAAACACTTTTTTTGTGTGGCTGGCTGGTAACTAGACAAATACTTTTTTTTTTTTCCTTTTTGTCTTTTTTCGTGTCCGGCAACGGATCGCAACCCTCAGTGTCGCGCCCGTACCGGACCGGGACCGGCAACGGGATCACAACCCTCGGTGTTGCTCCCACACCTCGCTCAGCCAGTGAGCAGGAACCGGTCTGTATGTGGGATCCGAACCCTCGGCGGGAGCGCCACTACGCTCCCAAGCGGCGCACTGTAGCAGTGTGCCACCGGGCCGGCCCTAGACAAATACTTTTTATTAGCCATTTAAAATAGGTTAAATGAGCTAAAGGAACTATGAGCATGATGTCTTACCAAACAGAATATCAATAAAGAGAAATTGTAAAAATGAACCAAACAGAAATTCTGGATTTGAAAACTATGTATCTAAAATGAAAAAACACTTGTGCTCATCAGCAGACTTGAGAAACAGAAAAAAGTCAGCAAACGTAGAGATAAGGCAACTGAGACTATTCAGTCTGAGGAATGGAAAGAATGAAAAAAAATAAGCCTCACACACCTGTGGCACGCCACTGGTCATACACATGTACACATAACGGGAGCCCCAGAAGGAGAGGAAAGACAGGGCGGCAAGAATACTTGAGGAAATATTGGCTGAAAACTTCCCAGGTTTTATGAAAAACATTCATCTGTATATCCAAGAAAGTAAATGAACTCCAAGTAGGAAAAATTCAAAGGGCTCCACAGAGGCACATTGTAATCAGACTGTTGAAAGACAGTGTCAAAGAGACAATCTCGAGAGCAGCAAGAAGGGACTCATATGTACAAGGATCCTCAGTAATGTTAGAAGCTGATTTCTTATCAGAAACCATGGAGGACAGAAGGCAGTGGGATGATATATTCAAATTACTGAAAGAAGGAAAAAAACCTGTCAACCAAGAAGAATTCCATATCTGGCAAAACTATCCTCTAAAAATGAAAGAATAATAAAGATATTCCCAGATAAACTAAAACAAAAAGAATTAATTTTTAGTACACCTGCCCTATAAGAAATGTTAAAGGGAGTCTTTCAGGGAAACACTAGACAGTAACTCAAATCTACAGAAAGAATCAAAAAACACCAGTAAAGGTCACTACAAAATATAAGTCAGCATTAATGTATTTTTGATTTCTAATTCATACTTCTTTCTGTATGATTTCTAAAACACTACTGCACAGAATGACAATTATAAATCTATGTTGATAGGCACACAATATATAAAGATATAATCTGTGACTATAACATCATGAGGGGGCAAGGCTATGTAACAGCAAACTATTTGCATACTGTTGAAATTAAATTGGTATTAATCTGACTTAGATTGTTATAAATTAAGATGTAATTGTAATCCCCACTGAGAAAATAACTCAAAAACACACAGTAAAGAAAAACAGGGAATAAAAATGGTATATTAGAAAATATGTATTTAACGGGAAAGGCAGTAATGGAGGAATTGAAAAATATATATATAATATAAAAATGATAACAAAAAAAGAAAAATAACCAAATAGCAGAAGTCCTTCCTTATCAGTGATTACACTGAATATAAATGGATTAAACTCTCCAATGAAAGTGCAGAGATTGGAGAATGGCTTTAAGAAAACATGAGCCAACTTTATGGTGTGTACAAGATACTCGCTTTAGATTCAAAGACACAAATAGGTTGAAAGTGCAGATGCTCCTTGACTTCCGACGGGGCTACGTCCCAACAAACCTATCATAAATAGAAAATATCTAGGTCAGCTGGCCCGTTAGCTCAGTTGGTTAGAGCACAGTGTTATAACACCAAGGTCAAGGGTTTGGATCCCTTTACCAGCCAGCCACCAGAAAAAAGGAAAAGAAAATATCGATCTCAAAAATGCATTTAAGTGGAACAACCCCTTAAGGGGTGGCCAGTTGGCTCAGTTGGTTGGAGCATGGTGTTGTTAACACCAAGGTCCAGGATTCAATCCCTATACCAGCCAACCACCAAAAGTAAATAAATAAATAATGGAAGTTTTTTTAAAAAGAAAATAGGTTGGTGATTGCTGGGGTGGGGATGACACCTAGTGGGCAGGGGGTCCTTTTTGGCGTATGACTCCTCCCCCTGCCTCCCCAGCATCTGCAGGATCCAGGCCCACAGGCGCATCAGGCCTGGCCCTGGCCTCCCCCTTTTTCATCTGGAAAACTCACTCTTCACTGCCCAGGACCTGGGGGCTTTCTCTAGCACCCACTCTCCCCATGGAGTAGGGGTGCCTGGGGCTCGGGCTCCCCCAGCCTTGCCCAGCGTGAAGACTGCTGGTCTGACACTCACCTGGCCTCAGTGACATTCAGGGGGTTTCCCTTGCACACCTCCAGCTGCACGTAGACTGAGCAGTTGACCCGGCTCCAGTCGGGGTCGCAGATGGCCAGGAAGTTGGGCCGCAGACGGCCAATCATGTACTTGGCCAGGTCTGTCAGTGACTGGCTCACAGCAGCCCCAAACAGGAACGTCCCCAGCACCTTGTAGACGGCGGCCACGTAGTTGTTGAAGTCAGAGCGTGAGTAGAGGCGGTCTGTGTACACCAGGTAGGCCTCTCCCACAGACACCTGTAGGGGGCAACCAAGGGGCCTCAAGTCTGGGCCACAGCAACGCAGTTACAGGGATCCTGGCCTGTCCCTGGGACCTTCTGGGCCCCGGGCCTCACCACTGAACAGAATTTAGGATTCCTGGCTTCCCTGAGGCTGCGGGCCCTTTTCCCCACAAATACCACCCATAGTGAGGCTGTGCCACCACCCCTCCCAGCCTTTATTCTCTCCAGGGTGGATTTTTGTCCGCCCCCCCCCCTTCTCACCATGGTCCCTCCGAGCCCTTCCTGCCTCACCAGGATGACGGTGGCTGTGATGGTGACCCCGGCCATGAGCCCATGGGTGATGGTGTCTGGACGGTAGGGGTAACGGATGGATTCATCACCACAGTAAAACCCTCGCTTGTACGGGGTGTTCACCAGGGTCAGGATGGCGAAGGGCAGAGAGGCTGTGGTGGGAGAGAAGCCCAGAAGACGTGATTCTCCCTAGCTGCACTCCCAACCAGCTGGGCCTCGGGTCCCACGTGCCAGCCCCACCTGGGTCCTGGACACCAGCCTGGGCCTCCTCCAGGCATCCCACCTCCACTGGCACTAGACAGCTAGGAGGCAAACAGGAGCCAACTATACCATTAAACCCACTATGGCTCCCCTCAGATAAACCCATCTCCCTGTCTCCCCTCACTCATACCCTTCCTGCCTCTTTTCTGCTCCGTGAACAAACCCAGCAAACACCCACCCCAGGGCCTTTGCACATATACTTCTCTCTGCCCCTAAAATCTTTGACTTCCAGTCTCAGCTTCATCTCCCCAACTGTCCCACCCCTGGTATCTCCTGTAGAAGAAAATGTCTGTTCTTCGCGTCTCTTGTCCCCGACCACTTGTGTTAGACTGAATCTCCACCATCCATGTGCAAGCACCAACAGGGGCCTACTGTGCTCAAGGCCCAGCCAAAGCAGGTGTTCAATGAGATCTGCTAAAATAAGGCAGGAACACAACGCAGTCAAGGGCTCAACTAAAATGCCTTCACTCATGCAATTGTCACTATATTTACTTTCTCGCCAGGCCATGAGCTGGCTACACAAGTGACCAGGACGGGCCCAGTCCCCAGCCTCAGGGAGCTCAGTCCAACAGCCCGGGGATTAAAGACACATTCTGGAACCACAAGTCATGACTGAGCTATGAAAGTTGTCACTTCAGCCCTCGGACTCCTGGGGCCCAGCTGAGCCAAGGGCAGCCAGGTAACACAGCACAGGGCACCGAGGGCAGCTCCCACTCCACAGGGCAGGTGCCCGATAATAACAGCCCAGGTCAGCCACCCAGAGACAAACCCAGGCTGGGTGCCCTTTGCCCCAGCAGGGCGGTGCAGGTGACAAGTGTAAAAAGGTGTGCCTTCTCTGGGTGGCATGGGCAGGAGAGGAGCAGGCCTTCCTCCAGCTCGCCCCGCAGGCCATTCAGTGATGTTTGATTCAGTGGATGCTGAGTCTGTGAAATCCTCCAGTGAGGGACACAGAGGGGTCTGTCTCCCAGAGCGACGAGAGGCAGAGGGCGTAAAGGGCAGGGAGGCCTTCAGGAGGAGGCGAATCTGGGAAGAGAGCACCAGGCAGGAGCCACAGGCAGGGCAAGGGCCTGGAGGTGGGACTGTGCCTTGCGAGTTGAAGCAGGAGAGCAGGTTGGGGCTGGACTACTTTATGAGATCAAGTCAGGCCCCCTCTCCACGCCGGAGTAGGCAGAAGCTCACATGGGTCCCTAGGAGGCCCAGGTAAGCCTGTCCCACCTCCCTGCCCTGCACCTTCTGCTGGAGATTCAGACACCCCTACCTGACTGGGAGCTGGGCCTTCCCTCTGCCTGCCCCAAGGCTGGCTCTGTCACTTCATTTAGACACCTGCCCGCACACCAGCTCCCTTATCCCCACCCAAAACCTCACTGTTGACTGAACTGTCTATGTATTCAAGCTGCTGGAACAAAAGCCCCCGGTCTGCAGGGCCGCCACCCCCTGGCACACAGCAGCAACCCCCAACCCAACCTCAGTTCCGCCTCCCGCTGCTGTGTGACCTCCCGCAGGCGGCTCGACCTCTCTGGGCAGCAACTGGGGACGACAGTAGCACCTACCTCACAGGCTGCTGGGAGGGAAAAGTTTAATTTTTCGCATGTCGCTCAGTACCTGTCATACATGCTTAAATAACACAGGTACTCAGGAAATGGTACCCAGGGCTGGCAGGTGCCCCTGGGGGCACTGGGCTGTTTCCTGGCCCACCCCAAAAGGGGTTTCTCTGGGACACAGGGTTAGGGTTAGGGTTAGCAGGAACCAGGTCGGGGGAGGGGAGACGGCTAATCCGGCCTGAGGGGGTCCCCGTCCTCCTCCCAGGGTAGAATTCAGGGGCCATTGTCCGCCCGGCCCAGGGCAAACACTCGGCCTTTGTTCCCGGGGCCTTGGGGCCGGGGTGCCCCCTCCCCCAGCCTCGCCCGCAAACCCGCCCGACAGGTTTGGTCCCCGCCCGCCCTGAGCCCCACGCTCGCCCACAGCCCGGGGCGCCCTCTCCACGTCCCTCCAGGCCCCAGGGCAGAGGGTCTCCCTGTGTGTCCCCGGGTGGGGCGTGCAGGACCCCAGGGGAGACCCGCGGCCGCGCCCTCCAGCCCAGCCACCTCCACGGCCGCCGCCCGCCTGAGTCACCATCACCGGGGGCGGGGCGGCCCCTCCCCCCTCCGCGGGGACTTCCTGCTGCTGCGCTGGGGACGCCAGCCCCGGGTCCGCCCGACGCCTCTCACGACCCCCTCCGGGGCCCGGGGCACGCCGGAGAAACTGAGGACCGGGAGGCGCACGCAGAGGCGAATCGGGGCGCAGGAGGGTCGCCCGCCGCCCCCCGCCCCAGGGGTCCTTCGAGGGTGGGTGGGGGCGCTACAGTCTCTGCCC